ACAGCTGGCAATAATATACGCGTAAAGGGCAAATATATACCAAATTGTACAAACTGTTTCGGGTTTAAGGCATGCCACAAAAAAGGCGTCTAGCTTCAAATGCCTGGCAATCCAACGCCCTAAATTTCTGTTCATGTTATTGGAACCTGAGTGGCGGCAGGTCGCTAGCAGGAATGTGTCTCTCGTGAAGAAGTTCGACAGTTCTTTGTTACTGTTAAGCCTTCACTCAAATGATTAATTGGTATATCAGGTGATAACCGAGCTGAAAATGTCAGTAAGCATAAAATTTTGCACCAAAATCATGGTTTGGTTTGCTTAGTAGAAACGGTTTTTCAAGTCAATCGTGTGCGCCAGGGCATGAACGCCACCATTCGAAGTTTATTCTTAAAGCTCAGCATATATATATTATATATATATAATATATATATATATATATATATATATATATGTGTGTGTGTGTGTGTGTGTGTGTGTGTGTGTGTGTGTGTGTGTATATATAAAATATATATATATATGTATGTATGTATGTATTTATGTATTAATTTTCTGGAAAAGTTCCTCCAAACAGATCGTGACGCTCTTTGTTTCTGTATATATATATATATATATATATATATATATATATATATATATATGTGTGTGTGTGTGTGTGTGTGTGTGTGTGTGTGTGTGTGTGTGTGTGTGTTGTGTGTGTATATATAATATATATATATATATATATATTATATATATATATATATATATATATATGCATATGAAAGATAACAAAAGTCATGCAAACAGTCATTCGAAGATGTTACAGTGTTACTAATATCCCTAGTCTAAAAAGGGACATCACCTTAATTCAAAAGTAGGATAGGATTTTTTAAAAAGAAACTTACAATGTGTGTTGCTTGTGGTTCTGTTCTATAATTATGATATATAATACAAGTTCCTGATCTGTGTCAAACATCAGGTATCTGCACAACATTAGGGTAAGCTCAGTGCCAGTACATGGGATCTCTCATGACTACTGGAATCAAGCCTACAAGAGGCTCTGAACTAAGATAAGATGCAACTCATTCAAAAACCATGAATTTAACAGAGAGAACATTTGATCTGTGGCAGTGAAGATTGATTTTGACAGTCTTCACATAAAACGTGTTTATCGAACAATGGGATATTATTCCTACAAATAAACATGTAAATAGTAAGATTAGTGTTAATTTGAATGGCAATGAAAGGAAAATATATGGTTAAATTAGCAGAAGGATGAAGACAAAAACTGTATATATGCATACTTTTATATGTTAGCGGGGGTAGGTGACAGTATTAAAGTGTATGTACATGTCAGTAAATAATTATTGTGTTTAAGATTAAGTACATGATTCAGCGTATGTACATGTCAGTAAATAATTATTGTGTTTAAGATTAAGTACATGATTCAGCGTATGTACATGTCAGTAAATAATTATTGTGTTTAAGATTAAGTACATGATTCAGCGACATTTTACGTGATAACCTAGCTGAAAATGTTAACAAGCATCAAATTTCGCGCCAATTTATAGGATTGGTTCACTTGGTAGTAGCGGTTATTGTTGGAGCTATTACTTTCTGCGGCGTATCCTTTTCAGTGTAAGGATTCGAGTCGCTAGAGAGACAGAGCGCGAGGTCCTTTGTTCAACCGCCGCCGATCGGCCGCTAGACGTACTAATTAGCTGCGTGTTGACTGAGCACTTATGGAGCCTTCTATGTGAAAAAGTGGATTCACCCAACAACTAGTGGTTAAATTCCCCTAGGTTTTACGCATATCCTACGTCATTTTTCCCAGTCTCCCAATTACATTTTCGTCACCAAATCCCCCCCCCCCCCCATCAGGCGAGATCTTATCTCCCAGGATTTCTTGGTTTTGTCTCCGGAGAAAATGTGTCTGCTTCCTGTGATAAGATGTGTTTATCCTGCCTCTTTTTTCCATGTCTCAGCGGTTCTAGCTCCCATTAACCAATTCTCCTGTTCTATATTGCTACAAGTCTTGCTCCGCAGGGAAACGCGCGTATTGCCGTGTATCCCATGTATCTTATCCCTAGGAATGTATCCCGGGGTATCGGTTCCCCTTTAGGGAATATATACACTGCTTCCCAGATTTCTTCGCTCCAAGGGTTTATGCTTTTACTTTCCAAAATAGCGTGCATTAGTCGAGCACATCACGTTATATTTGAAAATATGAGAAGGCAACGGAAATGACATAACGCTGGGATCCAGCATTCCACTGGAACATTATGCTGATAGTTTTCCATGGCAGGTAACAAGACAGTTTTGCGTGGCTAGGTATTCTAAGTTATAAGACGGTAGAATATCCAAGGAAATGGTGAGCTGTCCATCACCGTTCCTTGCCTTGTCAGTTCTAAAAATAGAATTTAATATCCACCTTTTTATGTGATAAAAATGGACATTTCTCAGAAGTAAGCATCTACATTCATTTACTAATGGTCTGACTCTAATGATGTTGTTACTTCTACAG